CGGACGGTCTGGCGGTCGCCCTGATCCTATTAATAAGAGCGCCCAACCAAAACAACAATATTGTAATAAAACTGATATATTGGTGGGCTTTGCTGCCGTTTCGATTATAAAATTGTAAATGCTTATAATGTCAATATCTATCGCGTTTGCTGTGCTCCGGCTGCCGTTCCCGTCCCCGTCGATCATCAACACTGTCCGAACGCTGACGCCTCTGTCTACCTCGCTCATCTCGGTGAGCGCTGCGGGACCTTTCCCGATGTCCATTGCTGCGTTGCTTATTATCTCTATCTCTGTGTCTATTGTGTCGCTCCTCGCCGCCTGTTTGGAAGCTGTTTGAGTGACCATTTCGACTATGCGATCGGTGCCGTTCACCAGTGCGATGCTCTTTATTTTCTCTCAGTTTGCTGCGTGAACGGGATCTCTCTCTGCTCTTTTGATTACTTTTGTGGCGGTGCTTTTGGTCAGCTGAATCACTTTCGGACTCGGAAGATGATGAAGAAGAAGACGAACTGCTTCCTGCAGTCTTGCTCTTGCTCTTCTTCTTTTTGCTGTCCTTTTTGGACTTCTTTTTGCTGGACTTCGATGACTTCTTTTCACCCTTGCGTTTCATGCGTTCAATTTTCTCCAGCTTTTTGAGTAATTTCAATTTTTGCTTCTTGCTCAAGGATTTTAGAAATAACAATTCTGGATTCTGTTGATTAGCGGCGCGTGTGGCTTCATCCTCCTCGTCGCTGGGTACCAGCTGATGGCGCTGCTGCACATCTTTAATGCTCTGCAGTTCCAGGGCCGAGTGCTTCATCATCAATCCATCCTCCTTCATTTGCTCCTCGAGCACATTTTTGGACATTATCTCGTTAGCCTCGGACTCGGAATGCAGTTTGCGTGCCTCACTCATCGATATGCTATACATGCTGCACTCTTTATCCGTGTTGATGTGCCCCCATTTGTGACACTTGAGGCAACGCACGTTGCGCACTTGAATACCAAATGGCTGATCTCGTATTTCAGTGTCACCTTTGCAGTATGACTCACGGGGAGCATTGTATTTTCGCTGCCACTCGAATTTGTATTCCGGTTCGTTGTCGTCCTTTTCACGCTCCTTGCGCACACCTGGCGGCGGCTCATACATGAAATTAACGCTCAGCTTGTCCTTGCTATCTTTGCTGAGCATTGCCTTGTTCTCATGGAGATTCTGTTCCTTTTCATACTGTGTGCGCAGCTCTTCCTGTTTCTTTTTATATGCCTCTGCCTGCTGTTCCGCCATCCATACCTGGGTATTTCATGAAGTTTCGTTATGAAAAAATATTGACCACATAAACGTTTAGTAGCTACTTACCCGCTTAAGATTATCTCTTGAGGCGGGGTGAAAGAATTTCTTACACATATAATTGTTGAAACCTTTACCCATCTTTTTACTTTATTATATCCTATATTTCTTATATTTAAGAGAAATATTCTAAAATTTGTCACTGTTTTGCTACGCTTAGCTGCGATTAGGTGTGCTTGTGTATGTGTTTATCAATGTACTGCGATACTTGTCTCAGCTATCGATAGAATTGCAATCTCTAAATCATGGACAGCGCGCCGATATGCATTTGAATAGCAACAATCTATTCCACATGTATTCAATGCTTTTCTATTTAATATGATTTACATAATATTACTAACTAGTCTCCAAATCTTTTGGGAAATCAATATGTAAATGGATAGGCCTGACTTAAAAAACTTATTTTCTGATTCGATAGTTTTAAGCCAGGTTTCATGATGCAAAGCTATGCAAAGTCGCGGTTGCACGTTTGCCAACACTCCACAAGTGCATTGATCGTGACATTCAGCCTCGTTTTAATCTTGATCTTCAATATAACTTCTTACAAAATGAATGTTATGGACGCAAACGATATGGTATGCTGTCCCTACAACAAGGCGCATAGAATGTTACGGAAAAAACTCCAGCAGCACATATTGAAATGCCGAGAAATCTACAAAGACGAAGTGGAGTTGCTTGTGTGTCCATTTAACAAAGCACATCTTATACCTGAGCCAGATTTCTTGGTGAGTAACACGAGTAAAATCGATCGTTTACACTATGCTAAAATCTCCCTCACACGCACAGCAACACACAAGATCATGCTTCGATCGTAAAATCATTGCGCATTATCAGCAGAGTGCGCCCGCTCCGCTGAACGACGATACAAAACACGAAAAAATCGAGTCGGAAGAGAACTGGGACGACGAATATGTGCCCGACTATGATCCTCAGCAATACGCTATCAACGCTAACATTGTTCGTGAGCCAAATGGCATGTTCCCCTCACAGCGCAAGGCATTCATAAAACAGGAACGCAAGCGTCTGCTAGGCGAAGACAGCGATGATGATGCCACAGGAAGTCAGCAAAAGATGAAATTGCCAACCAAAGCCAACTCCACAGGAACACAACGTCCGACGCTATACAAACTACCAAACCGTAATCGTTGACTCAAAGACTAAATTGTGAACTTACATACCAAAGTTTATCCATCGAATTTATGTAATTTAATGAGTTTAAAGAATCTTCTTTCGTTGTAGATATAAGAATAATAAATCAGCGTTCGCTAATGTTTTGCTCAAATTAATCATGCAATTTATCCTATTTAAGATGTGTTTTTTT